ATTCTTATATTTTGACCGGCCTTAAGATTTCCATGTCTTTAAAACTTCATGTTTAACAATTTGTTCATAGCGCCGAATTCTTTTGGTCTTTTGGGAACATTATTATCACAAGACTCCTGACCTGCAAACTCGATTTTACAGTAACGAAAGCATTATGTTGTTATTATAGTCATTGAAAGCTATTTGTGGGTGTGCCCATCCACACACGGCATAGTCTAACGTACAGTGATGCAGGAAATGAACACTTCTGCCAGGGACATGCTTTTTTTCATTATAATTGCTAAGTACTCTTTGGAGGATTGTCGAGTACTGTACCAGTAGGCCTACGGACAAAAATCGTACGATGTATACACGACCTTTGATACGGACAACGATTGTATATAACAAGATAGTTCACTCAGCCCAAAAAGTGTCCGCGGATGTCCGCGCATTGCTTCAGATGGCGCAGCAGTCTAAAATGGACAATAGCGTGAATGATGATAATATATTGGGGGATATTAATCCACAGACAAGGAAATAAGAGGCTGAAACAGCACCTGGACATGGATTGCTGGTGCCTCTGTAAATAAATTATTGATGGTCAGGTCAGGGTCAGAAGCTCTCTTTCGTTTCCTCGGAAGAAGAATAGAAAAAGCACAGTTTGTTAGTTTAACTTTGATTGTTTTTCACACTAGTAGGATAACTCTGCTCGCAAAGACCGCGCTTTTTCGAAGAGGGCGCCACCAAATTTTTGAACCTTTTTAATTGACTCAAAGAGAGGAGTGAACTATCTTGTTATACGCGATCTTTGGTACGGATCAAGGAGCTATCTCCTTTTTTAAAAAGAGTGTAATTCTATGATGCTGACAAATCGTGCTGTGCAGTGCGGGGAAACTGTAAGCGCTGGTGTGAAACCGTCATTGTTGTTGAAACATCATGACCCGGTAGTGTAAACCTTTCTAAATTGTGTACGAGTAGTACATTTCATAGAGTTACCCCCTTTTAAACCTATAGTGTACATCTATGGTACATTTAAATAGAATTAAATTGTTACTTGTTTGTTTGTTTGTTTGTTGGGGG